TATTTAATGACTGGATTTTTGTGAAATATTTTTTATCAAGTTCTAATTAGATGTGTGATAACAAACCCTGCTGTACATGGGGCAAATGAGGGAGCCGTGACAGGCCCATCCATTGAGGCTGTCCACGTCTGGACACTGAAACTAATGGAGCACTGCTTCTATCTCAGGGATGGATAGAAAGCAATGAGGGATGAGACTCCAGAGTCCAGTCTGGCCTGCAAATGCTCAGCCATTTAAAAAGTCTCTTATTTGACTGCAATAAAGGTCCAAAAATGCCTGAGGGCCTTGAGGCTCCAGTCAAAAATTCCATCTCGATTCATTCAGGATTGATCCCCACATACTTCATGGCACCGACACGCTGGGATCGATCATGACTCAAAAATAACCTGGACAGTCCGATTGGAATTATGACATATCAGTACAGTAAACGCCTGCAGGATTTTCATGAAAGAGGAGTTTAACCTGTTAAAATCCAGAAGACATACACAAAACAAAAAAGCCTTTTAGATCACAGGTTCTACATGCCAGAGACCACTTGGGTTACAGGGTCGGGGGTAAACACTTGTATTGTATTGGCAATATTGAATTGATACAGGGACGCCAAGAATCATTTTTTTAAATTATATAAATTATTAACATTGCAAATGCGAACTAAACTTTTGTTAGCCTACTACAATAATAAAAGTGAGATGAACAGACTGGAAACTTTATTTTATTTGATAAAACAAATATTGACAAAGTTTTCCTTCGGGGACATAATTCACAGATGAAAAAAGGCAATATATCCCAATACATTTTTTGCAATATTCAGCATATTGCAAAACCTTTAAAATTGCAATAATACTGTATCGTGACTTGAGTATTGTGATAATATCGTATCATGGGGCCTCTGGTGATTCCCACCTCTATTAGGTTTGGGTGTCTTTTAAGTTTGGTTTTCTTAAAAATACATACACTCGCAAACAGAACATCCAGAATAAAAAAAAAATCTGTTTGAACAAATTGTCCAGCTGAACTTATTACATGATTTCCCCAAAGTAACGAAGCTTGTGTTGCGTTTAGAAAACAATTATGAGTCTATGTTTTGCAAATCCGACAAAAATGTGACAGTAGAGAGAACTGTATACGTTCTGCACAATTAGCTCTCAGCTATTTCATGCTGAATTCCTCTTAATGACAGAGACAATAACTCTTCTACCTTCTTCTTTTTGTCTTTTCAGTGTAACATTTTGTTCCAAGCATGTAATTTTTTAGCCAATTGTTTAATTCAGTTCTGCAGTATTTACCCCAAAGCGCTGACACTATGCTGCTATTTGAACGCAGAAAATGCATGAACATCTCAAACATACTTACATTTAAATTAAGGCAAATTTAAACACTGTGTAGTTTTACAAGCCATCAAATTATTACGAAGAAATCCAACACTCCTTCATATCATTAGCTGCTGGGAGTAGTAAACAGTTTGAGTGTGTGTGTGTGTGTGTGTATATACATTAAGTGTAAATACTATTCTCCTGCTCCACCCTCCTCTCGCTCTGCTTCGCCTTTTGCTGACCAGGGGAATTAAGAAGCAAAACGTGGGTTTTAAGAGCGTTCCTTTCATGTCTTGATGTAAGCTTTGGCATTACTTCAGACATCAAGATCGGTTTCATAGAAATCCCATTCCATCTAAAGTAAAAGCTGGGCAGTAAATCTGCCGATACTCCCCCATAACACTTCCATAAATGATTCATTCAGCTCGGTTTAGCTGATGCAAAACAGAATGTTAGTGAGTTGTGGATGGAGCCTGAGCTGCAAGTGGAGGACCAACCCCGCTGCTTAGTAATTTCATCAATCTCTGGGAGAGAAAGAGAGGAGAAAGGAGAAAGAAGAGAACGGCGTACACTAATAATAACTTTTGTGTCACTATCCAGAGGTCGTGTTTTTTAATCCCTCAGCCTAAAGAATTGTGTTATTCTAAAATATAACCCCAGCGGTGCAGAAGCAGTTGAGATCCATCACGGTTTGAGATAAGAGCCGGCTGATCGCCTCCCTCTGCACAGCCTCGCCCAGAACTACACAGGGAGATAAGATGGAACTTTTGTTTGAAACCTGATGAGAACCCTCTTAATGAAAGTGCGGCGCCAAAAATAATCTTTTTTCTCCATGTTAGTCAATCAAGAAATGGTGTAGTTGGGGGAAAAAGAGGAGAAAGAAAGTAATTTTGCATAATCAGTGAGCACCATCTGGAACAATTAACCAAATTCCACAGAACTCAGAGGATCAGTCATATTGGCTTATTAAAGATCCAGAATTATACAAGTAATAAATCCTTGGAAAAACGAAGCGTACCCCTGCCTGTCACGACTATTTTAACTTCAAATACAGTGGAATACTTGATAAGGCTGAAAAGAGGAGATTAATATATGCAAATTATGTCGAGCATTTAAAAGCCCCCCAACAACTGTCCCGTTTTTTTTTTTTCTGTCTCTTATTACAGGGCTTTATGTTTTATTCATACACCAACTCACCTGTCATTTCATAAGCTATAATATTATGAGGGTATTATTAAACAGCATAAAGTGGAGCTTTAATTGGAAAGCTCCATTGCATTTTCCAATTATTTGCAGCAAATTAAAAGCAGATGCACATAGTTTAATAAGAATTCTAATATTGTTTCCTGAAAATCAAAAATCACTGTCATCCTGCCAAGATATTTTGCAAACCCAAGTTAATTTTGAGCCTCCTATTTTTTCCCCTCCTCCTCCTCCCTCCTCCTCCTCTGAAGGATGAACTGTCTCGTGTCTGTTAATTGAAGTTCCTCTAATGGATAGGGAAATAATTGCTCTCCATATTACGTTAGATCAGGGCCAATGTCAGGATTTATTTTTGATTAATGCGATAGATATGTAAATGTATTACTTTTTATTACGTTTACCTTCTTATCGGGTGGATGTCTGCTGAATACTATATGTTGTTCTGCAGGTAATGACGAGAGACTGCAGTGCAACAGACCGACACGTCACATAGGTTTATTTTAGAGTTTTAGACGTTTTTTTTCCTCCAACACCATCACATTTATTTTTATCAAACATATGCTTTTTAGACACATTCCATGAATGCACGTTTAATTACCTTTAAACTATCCTGCTTTTCTGTCAATGTATGAATAACAGACCTAATTGGCAAAGGGACTTGGCACGGATCAAAGCAACGTGGTGAGGAAAAAGCAAAAGGTTGGAGCCGCTATGAAAACTTGATAACTTTTCAAATGAGCTCCAACTGTCAAGTGAAAGAGGGCTGCAAAATAAATGTGAATTAGTTTTTAATATTCTGGTAATAAATGTCAAAGCGCCTGCACATCACATCTGTACATGATGTGACTGCGGATGACAGATTTCCCAGACATGTTACCTCTCCTCCCCTCAACTCACCCGTTTTTTTTTTCTTCTTTTTTTTCTGTTGGGGTTTTTGTTTTGTTGGGAAGTGACGGAGGGTTTAATCAAGAAAGCAGGCAATTCATCAATCCTAAAGAAGGCGCCTGTACAACCCTGACAGAGCGCACATGGTTTTAGACCAACTCGAACCTGGCCAGCTGTCAGCCCACACACACGCGTGCACACGTAGACGCCCACGCACCCATACACATACACACCAGAGCTACCACCGCTAACAATTAACACAAATAGGCTGTCGGCTACGACCTCACACTTGGTCCGCGGGCTATCACATTGTTAATGAAGGGAAGTTGCGTTCTCTCACATTCACAGTGTGATGCTGAGAGGCTGACGAGTACACAGTCTCAAGAAATAAAGCCAAGAACCATCTCGGGCTAACTCCATTATCCGCTTCTTTAAAATCATGAAGGGACGCATAAAAGATAGCAGAAAGGAGGGAGTCTGTACAGCTGCAAAGGACAGTTTTCTGGAGATAACTGATGACTGCTGGCAACGTACTGTACAGTATGTGCATGTTCTTCACTGTCAATCAAACCCTGTCCCAGTGGAGGAATCACACACCCAATGCCACAAACCACTCAGCTGTGTGTTAATGTCTGCTCCTTCAGGGCCACACTGTGCACACTTGTCTTGACTAACTTATAATATGACTGTCAAAGCAAAAAAAATGATGTATTAATCTTTTTTTTTTGTCAATCACATATTGTTTTTCTTTTTTGAAAGATGGCATACACGAAAAAAAGAAGAGGGAAAGAAACAGCTTAGAATTAGAGACCTTAATTTTTTTCCCCTTTTTTAATATCTCCCTATGGAGTTCTATCATGTGCACTTCAGCAACTATTTGATACCTAGACTTGTATTAAAAAGGCAGGGTGTAACATGCCAGTAGCCTGGGTGTGCCTCTGCCTGAGCAGCAGGAGGAATCCTCACCACATGGTGTCTCTCTCCAGCTGGATAAAAAACCTGCCTGCTTCATTCACCTCGTGCGGATCACACGCTCTTTGAGGCTAGAGCGTCTCAGCCGGCTCTGACTCTGTGGCTCTGAGGCTGTCATAGCTAAGCTCTGCTTCCTAACGAATTAGCCTCTCTTCTGTTTTAGTCCCGGAGCATTGTGCTATAGTTGAGTTTCTCTCCTTGACAAAAGGGAAGGGAATTCGTCCGGTGCAATGCACGGTACATAATGTAAGTATGGCATGTGATGGATCATCTTTGACAGCTGTTAAATGTTCTCTTGAGTGTAATGCCGTGCTCCTCTGGGAAGTCACGTTCGCTCAGATAAGCAAAGCTCTGTACAGTATCCATCACTGAGGAGATCTAGACATTAGAGCATTTGTAGATCAAGTACCAGAGAAGCTGCCTTTTGTACATGTGGAGACGATGCTCGGTATAAACAGAAAGCATAGGTAGAACCTTTTCTTCAGACACATAAAGCTTTTTCTTGCAGTAAGATGGCTAAAAATCAGCAAGTTTAACAACCTAATGCAACTTGTGCAAACTATTAAATCCCTCTAATTGCCATAAATGGTGCTGACTTGCATATATTTAAAGTGTGAAACCATTTACCTGTCATGGTGTAGCTCCCACTGCTCTGGTGCTCATAGAGCGGCCTGCTTGTCGTCCTCACCCTGGCAGAAAGGAAGCAACAATGTTCTGTCAACTGATCAATACTATTTCTTGAATATAATGGTAAAAACATACAAAATGCATGTAAACTTTATATTTGACAGTTATGTTTCAAGACACATTGTAATGCAAGAGAATATATTTAGCGTGGAAACTCCTCACACAAAGGGTTTATTTTTTATCTAAAAGCAAAACAGAGCACTGGAATAACAGGATGAATCTAAAGAGGAGAAATATGGTAAAAGTTAAACTGTGCCTCAGCTGCCCAGGGGCTTGCACAGACCTTTAACAGAGGGATTGGAGCAGGATCTTGTAAATTCTGGAGGAACTGAGAGATTCCATTATTCAAGGGAAGTCTGTTTTTTTTTCTACCGTTTCATGGCCTTGTATTACAGAAAACAGCACAGAATGCACTTTGTGGGCAGTTGAAGTTAACAAACCATATAAGATTGAAATCCTCATCAATCAAGCTATCATGAATTACACCCTGTGACTCACCCCTACGGATCGATAAATCCACAGCAAGCAGGGGAAAAAAAAAAAAAAAAAAAAAAAAATTCACAGCTTCGAGGGAGCTGCATAACATGACATGCTCTGAAGGTAAAATGAGCTCCGGGATGGCATTATAAAACAAATGATCTTATAATGATAATGCAAAGCAGTTGGCAATATCATTGAAAAAAGGGAACTGCTTTGATAAGGGGACATGTATGTGTCTGTTGTTACCCAGAAAAACACGAAGAGAATAAGACAGTGCTGAATTATGAAAAAATACGACAGATTTTGGGAGCGAGCAGGTGTGAAGTTGCAAATAATGAAGTGTGTATCATGTTCTGCATTTGCTCTGTTTATGGAAAACACAATAATTCTTACGAGGGGGTGTAAACTCAAAATTCGTGAAATTTAAGACTAAAGGCAGATCTGCATATTCCATGAGTGCTGTGCATGAGTTGTGGCTTCCAAAGCCTTATCTCTTTGGATGAGATAAATAAATGCAATAATTTCCATCAAGAGCAATAAAACAAGACTTCTGACAGGCTGTGGTATTTATGAGCTGAAGCCTGCAACTCAGATTTATTTGCAATGAAAGGGTCGACTTTTCTTCTCCTCATTTACATCAGCATTTGGCCATGTTAAATCCAGGCCAATGGTGAATTTTTAAAAGGTTGGCATCAATCTTGTGGGAACGATTGCCATATTCAACGCAGACTTCTTTTACCTTTCAAAAGGTTGATTCCACTGCTGAGGAAGAAAGGTACACATCTTTCAAAGAACAGAGACATCCCAAGGACTGATAGAGTTGGGGGGGGGGGGGTGAAATGGTTTAAATGTCCTTTTAGGGCGTCTGTGTTTGTGTTGTTAAATTAATACTCAGAATAAACAAAGACAGCAGAGAAAGTCTGGCTATTTATCTGTGTATCTGAAAAAGTGAAAGTGGTACTTAAAGCCAAAGACTCGCTGTGAAAGCGGGGAAATGTGCTCATGAAATGCTTTTCTACAGGCAACCTCCCGGGTTGCTTTTCCCATCTGTTTGAAACACAAAACTGTCTCAATCCAAATTGGTGATTTCTAAATACAATTTTAGGTGCATTGGAGAGGGTAACATATGGCAAATCAATTAGACAACTAATTCTTAAAACAAAAACATGGCAAGTGCATTTGCTAATCAACAGCAGTGTTGGGGCTCGTATTATGTCGGCCACTGGAGTTTTGACAACAATTAATCCTCATTTCAGGCAAGGAGAGCCATATTGACACATATTCCTAATTTGAATATTCAATTACAGCGTAGTTCCTCATCAAATTATAGTAAAACTGGGAACACGGCCTGAAAGATTTACGCAATTACAACACAGATCAAGAGTCTTATGTTCCCGTGAAATCTGCCGGAGTTAAAATCATATTAGTGCAGCAAAGCAAACCACGACACTATGGACTACTTGACAACATGAATTACAGTTCAACAGATTTTTTTTTTTGTTGTATGGTGTTCTTTAAGTTGCTCTATGCGGAATAAGGAAAAGAGTTGTCTGTTAAAAAAAAAGAGAAGAGAAAGTGGGAGAGACAGTAGGGACAGACAAGCGGAAGTCAGTGGAGAGGTAAGACGAGGATGAGAGTAATATCACTGAAGAGCCAGAGCTGCGATACAGAGAGCTGGAAGCTCTTGTTTTGACACACATCCAGCCTTTCCCGTGACAACATCTCCACACCTTCCTCTATGTGCCGACAGTGCTGCTTTGTGGGAGCTGCTTTCTCACCCATCATTATCCTCCTTTAAGCTCGGTGTCAGGTGTTGAAAAGAGGATCTCTCTGAATTTGGTGGCAAATCACCGAACAGTCTGAGCCCATCAGATCTTAGCTGATCATTCGATCATTCCTGGCACTGCTTCGCGTCCCTGCGCTTGATCTCGTCTACTTTTTGTAACTTTTGTGAACACAAGAAAGTAATGAGTAAGATTGAGCGGGGAATGATTGTTCTTCAGCACTTTCAGATGGGAGATCTGTCAGGCGACACGCTGACAGTCACCGTGTCTCTTTCTCCTCAAGAGTCGTGTGCAGTGGGAAGTCTTGGTTAACCAGCAAGCAATGAAAGCTGATACAATACTCCTGCAGAGCTGCAGCAATGCGTGGAGTGTCACAGGTAGAAGACAGTGCTATCCGAAACGTATTGATATGCATGCCAATTCTGACATTGATGACTCTCTAGGCTTCACGTGTTAAAGAAAAAGCCAACTACAGTACGCAATGAACAAAAAAAAAATAAGATACTCGCCCTTGACATTTTTATCGCTGTACAGTTTGATTTTAAAAGTGCCCGTGTGTACAATAGCCTATTATTCTAAGAGAAATGTCAAAAACCTTGATTCTGAGTGAAGCAAAAGAAATTGCAATATTAGGACAAGGCTAATTTATGCTAGCAGTCACTGTAGAGGTCAGATATCAGCCTCAGCAATGACAGTTTTATCAGGAGAACAAATGGCAGCGTTGGCCAGGAGAAGGAAGGAGGAGGGATACTTTACTGGACACATTAAAAGGCTGACCGGATGGTGCAGGTTTTTCACATTATAAAGTCAGGGAGAGGCTGATACAGTCGGTCTTGACAGAGAACAAGCCAAAGTGGTTGACATCAAGCAGCAGCTATGAATCAAAACAGAGCTCGCTCGCCGGTTGAAACGCTTTAGACAAACTTGATAAAGAGACATTAAACACACAAGGTTCAAATGCATCTGCACGGTGGACTGCTGAACAGGCCTGTTCCCTAACAGCTTTAGTGGCTCAATATGGTGTGACAGCCTGAGCCAATAAGAAGTAAGTATTTTAGGTTTAGTGTTTATCATTGATCCTGCTTAACTGATGAAACTTGCTCAAACTGCCAAACAGAAAATAATCATTCCTTTATTAATTCCTGAGGTTTCTTTTTACGGGGTTTCTGCAGGGTCCACTAAATTAAATTTAAGACTTCCTCAGACTTTTTTAATACCACATAGAATGCAGTTTAATACCTGTTTCACAAAGATACTAGCAAAAGCATAAAAGTATGATAGAAAACCAGTAAGGATGATATGGCCTAGAATCCTACATTATTATATCTCGCTTATTTTCAGCAGTATATTATATAATAATTCTTTCATAATATCATTAATTCAATTAAAGCGACCTGGAAAATGGCAGAAAATAGACGAATGAATTAACAAATTAAAATTGTATCAATATCTTTGGAGCTGCTAATCACATAGTCCACTGGTTCTCAAACTTCGGTACGCAGAGGAATCTCTGAAATATTTTTTAAGAATTAAACGTATTAATTTCAAGGTATACTGTTTGTAAACATGCTCACCAGCAAAGGTGAAGGTAAAAGTCAACCCCAGATTCACTCCCATTTGGTATTTCACCTCGCTACATTTGCGCTTTTTCAGCGCTGTGTCTCTTGGATGCCTGCTGCTAACTGACAATAAGTAATCTTCTAGTTAGGAATAAACCTGAACTGTCCATGGCTGAATATGGTAGGCCTACGCTTGTGTATTCCAACATTGGTCACATCGGTGGTACTGGAGGTATATGGTGTTAAGAGTTTGAGAATCAATGACCTAGTCGAAAGAAAATTCCGTAAATCTGGATATTCCATTGATAATCTTAGTTGTCTTAGTTTTTCAAACAAAATGCCAACATTTGCTGGTTTTACCTTCTTAGCTGTACAGATCTGCTGCTTTTCTTTGACATATATGACAGTAAATAAATTATCTTTTGAATTTTGGACTGTTGGAATTGACAAGACAAGCAAGTCAATGATGTCACCTTGGGCTTTGGGATGTTTTCACGGATGCGATAGACACGGATGTGATAGACATTTAATATCACTAAAGAAATAATAGATTAATTGACAAGGAGAACAATCCTTAGTTCTTAAAAGTTCCAAGTTTTTGCTAAAATCAACATTTGCCTATTATGGGAAAATTCCTAGTACTGTATCTAGCAGTAGTGACAATAGTTGCTCTAGGTTTGATGGTGCTGATTGAAACACAATAAAGGATTACAGCCTCCTTGTTACAACAATCCCACTTTAAATCTATTGGTGGGTAGTGTATCCCGACAGCCTGCAATTGGAAAATACATCAGACAACAGGTTAGTTAACAGTAGAGAGCAGCATGGAGGCCAGTGAAAATATCACGGTGATTATTTTGTTTTGAGCCGATCACTCTTTCAAACTCAGTGCAGACAAATTTTGAACAATGTTCAAGTGCTGCTTGGACAGAGACGGACAGTATTTTGTGGCGCCCTGTCATTGCACTGCACCGTAAAAGGAGCTAAAATTTGCACCTCCACCCAGGAGTCATATTTCTATCACTGGAGCTGAAAATTAGCCTACCTGTGAGTCCTGCAGAGTCATTTGTCTCTGTAATAAATGCCAATTGTAATATCTCCCATCAAATACAAGGCCAGATGTTAGTGGGCGTTGGTGGGTTTTTCTGTCCAGTCAGAGAGGAGCTTAAGACTCTTCTAGGGTATTTTTTAGGAAAGGAATTCAAAGTTTATTGAAACTTTTCAAGGGCTGCAGATATTCTGTTTGCAGCTGACAAAACTATACAAAAACAATTCGAATACAACACCTTAGCCTTGATGCAATAACTCTGTGCATCCCATAATGATGCAACACCCTGCAGTTTCTGTGAGCTGCAGCTTTGCACCGCTGGAAAAAAAACAACAAAACAAAACCCTGATTTGCGGTGTACGTTTGTACACAACTCTAACAAGCTCTCGCTGCCTGAGGCAACTTAACATTTGAGAGGGATCACTGCAGCTTTCAAAATTATAAGGGTCATTAAAAATTTACACATTATTGACTGTATTTAAAACATCTTTTCCACTGACTGTAAAGAGCACTTAAATTTAAGAGGTGCTATTCTCCAAAGGCCATAAAGTTGTTATAGATAGCCTGAAGGAGGCAAGGAGGAGAGAATTTTCTCTTCCTGAATATGAATAAAGTATAGTGGGGTGATACTACACAGACAGTCACACTGTACTACTGTACTTACTTAGGCAATCAGTGAGTGTTGAAGAGCTGTTTATAAATCACCGTGTCAAACCATCTAATCTGTGACTTTAAAGAAACTACAGAAATATTTATAGCTGTATGTATGGTTGTCTAAAGTACATGTAACTACACAGGGAGGATGCCAGATAAATAGTCAAAGAACTGCCACTGTCTAAATTGCCCACAGTCCCGTCCTTATGTGTCAGTGCATTATGGATGGAAATACTCTCAAAAGAAGGCTCTCTGACTGTGGAATGAATTTTAATGTTAATACAAAAACAGCAGCCTGTGATCTCAGCAGGCATCAGGAGGGGGTGTGAGTCGCTTCGAGGTGCAATTTATTCCAACCTCTGAGCCTCACCAACTTGAAAGTGGGCTTCAAAAGAATGGAGGATTACCGGTAAGAGTCGCTAAGGCGTGCACGCAGGCCTGAGCGCTCACCATCGCTTCAGCACATCAAAGATTATTGACCATCGATTTCCAAAATGTGGACAATTCACACAACTCTACCCAGTTTGAACTTGGGTTTTGAATTCACGGCAGTCCATTTTATTGTTCTCATCCCACTGAGTAGCCATGTGAACAGAAGCTCTGTTTTGAATACGCCTGCTGGCATCCACAGCTCTGGCCTGTTGCGGCTTTTAAGTGGCTTTTTACTCAGCCCAGCACAGGATGGCAAAGCAGAGCACTTCAAGCTGGCAAACCCGTCAGCACCCCGTGCCAAGCTCCCCTCTCCACAGCGCCGCCACACCGAAGGAGTCTCAACTGTTTATTTACAATTTGCTGTGGAAATCCCCAGTTCTTCATTGCGATAAATAATTGAGCTGTTTGATCTGGACACAGTACAAAGGGTTGCTCCGTTCACTCTTAGGCCTGAGGCGGAGGAAGCCTGAGCAGCATGAGCAGAGGAGGGGACGCACACAAATGCTCCAGCGTGGCGGAGATCTTGGAGCTCTCCTCCCTTCCTCTGCAGCTGTCGCTCGCTCTCCGGGCTACATCTCCTCCTCTTTGTCTGCACAGTACAACACTCCTGTCACCGCAGTCAGAGGAGCGACCTGCCTCTGCCTCCTGGGACAACCCACAAATAGCAGGAGTTTAGCCCTCATTGAACTCATGTTCTTGTTCAGGGGATCCTGTCTAGTTAGCCTGTCTCTCCAGCTCGCCCTCGCTACCTCGTTGTCCGGCCACAACCTTTACGGCAGATTGCCCGGGAGTGATCAATTGCTTGTGTCTTCATTGTCGTACATGTGGTATAAGAGCGTAACAACAGCTCAAGAGCACGCTGGGTGTAAAATAAAAAGAGAGCAAGGAGGAAAGTTAAACTTCAAGGGGCACTGTTGAATAAAGTGGCATGATATTACCTTGCAGTGCTGGGTGGAGCGTCACTGTTAGCTGTACCGGACGTTTCATGGGACGACTGAGGCTGAGGAACGTCTCCTAATCGGTACCATATCCCCATATTGTTCCTCTCACTGTGTAAAGATGAAGAAGAGACAAACAGCTGGGGATGCTTCATGCAAATTGGAAAATGTATCACCAAGCACGGTGATTGATAGAAGATACAAAACATCATGAATTCATTTATTTCTGGTGCCAAACAGCTCACCCGATACAGGTGTAGTTAACAAGGTGGTACTTGGACTTTGCAACGATCTGGATGTCACACACAGCCATCACTGCAGCTGCACGAGGGCTGAGTTTCACGCAGAGCTTCCTCTTCCTCATGGCAGTTTCCTCTGATGAGTCAGGTGCACATGAGGGTGTTAGATAGGACATTGGTGGTTGCATATCCATAGCTGACATCCCTGAGTTTCAAGCTAAAAAAATAAATCTATGCACATTTTAAACCTCTAGGAGAAATGTATGTGTTCACAAATCCCATGTTTGCTTTGCTATTTAGTCATTACCAGTCTCAGAATAAGAGATGAGCTAATATCAGCTGCTGGGTGACTTGCTGTGCTTAAAGGGAAATAACTGGACATCGGAAAGCCACAATATCCACATGCGTTATTATAATTTTTATCATTTTAGTAGGTGAAATGACAGAAGCAAGTGAATCCTCCATCAGTTTTAGTGCACAACAGGGATTTAAACTGGATATTCGAGATAGAAACTCATACATAATGTCACATGTATACATTAAACATGGATTCATACAAAGCAATAAAACATTAAATTACACCGTAGCCAAACAAAACATAATCTCTTTTCTTCATTCTGGCAAAAACAAAACAAAACAAAAAAAAAAAAACATTGCCATGCTTTCCTATATTGCATCTGTGCCTCGCTCATTTATTTCCCCTGCAACACTAGAAAGTGCAGTGTAAATGCAATGATAATAAAAATAATAAACAAGCTGTCCTCACTCCCCACACCAAAATATTATTACATTTCCAAGGCATGGATAGTGAGGGGAAATACATAGCACTCAAAAAGCACTAAAGCATTGGGGAATGCATTTCATTAATATTAGATAACCCCCATCCACTCGTCCTCTCCCCAAATAAATACATAAATAAATAAGCCCCTCATAAAGTAAAGCACAGCTCCAGCTGAGATAAACAATGACTCATGATTCTCTTCTCTTGTACCTCCAGGGCAAAATGTTTATTTTATTCCCACAGTCTGCCATAAATTAAGCTAACCTGCACCCATAAAACATTCACTATCTCAAGCAAAGCTGCCCCCGAGGACCTCCGCATAAGCTGGTCGGAGAGTGAAAAAAACAAGAAGAGGAGGGGAGGGAGTCTGTGGTCGGTATTGACTGTTTACTTACTTGTGTCCAATGTTTCTTCCACAGGTGTGAAGCCCTCTGGCAATGCGTCCTTAATGTCAATCAGCTTCATGTCCACAACAACGTCAGCCCCCTAAAAAGATAGAGCGCGGGCAGGAAATTTTAAGTCATGTATGCAAATTCAACTTTTCAAAGGGACAGACAGCACAAGGAGGAAAAGGTTAGTCATTTTTTGGAGGGCTCGGGAAAGAAAATGTAGAGATAATAGAGTCAATGATTTACTAAAAGCTCGGGAAGTCTCTAAAGAGAAGGGTTGACAAAATAGCTGAAGTAATTACTCTCTAATAGCTTTTTTTTTTTTTTTGCAATGAGAGAATGCATCTGTGAACTTGTAATCATTCTCAACCTTTTGGCGAGAAGCTGTGGGATGATGGGAGACAGAGCAGGCAGTCTAATCAACAGAATGGGACTGGTTAAAAACAATCAGGGACTGTGTAGTTGACATTTTCAAGCATGACTCTTCCCTGCCTCCCATTACATTTTCATTTTTTGCCATAATAAATTGCAATAATACACAGCGGCAGTAGAGAGTGGGGCGAGCCAGGCGTGACTTGATGCGTCCGAAAAGGCTGGATTTCACTGCTACTGTTGCCCGACAGTCATTACCATTAGAGACATTTTTTATTCATAGTTTTTATACTGACTTAAGGAGGAATATGGATGAATGTTATTACTATGCATGGAACCTTTTTTTAGTGTTTTCCCCCCTTTTGCGGGAGAGATTTCTTCCATCAGGGCCTGACAAAAGGGGCTTTCTACCTCCAACCTAGAGTATGATAAATCACAAACTATTTACTTCCCCCCACGTAATTCAGGGGCTAATTTTGCAGAATCTGTTTTTGTCATAGACAATTACAGTGGGAGCTCCATTGAGTGGCAGACAAAATAGCCTTTGTTGATGGCTCTGTCATGTTTTATTTGTGTCAAAGTCTTTAAAACAATGTGGACACACATTTTAAGATAATATACAGGAACTAGGGGAAGGCTATTTGTATTCTATATACTAAACTGCGGACCAGATTGAGCTCAGGCACAAGGCAGCCGCTGCCAAGTTGCCTGGCTTTTAGAGGACATAGTGTTTAAAAAAAAAAAAAAAAAAAAAAAAAGACAAAGACTTGATTAAGTCTTAAAATTGAGCTGATGCAAAATGATAACAAAAATGCAGGTTTTGTTTAAACTGTCTGCATTATCTACCTGCAACCCATGGAAACAAATTAATAGACAGCCAATAGTAAGCTGCATGAGCTGAGGGTAGACAGGTCGGTGTATTTATGGCCACCGAGCAGCTGACAGCCATGCAACAACACATCAGCTGTAGGGTGCAGGCAGGAGATGAGTCCAAAAATGACCTAACAGCATTATGAGAAACATTTAAAGATCATTTCAGCCACTGAAGAGTCAGTGTCACTCAATTAGGGAGCTCTATATATAGGCTATATATAACACAACCATGCTGAAAGTGCTTTTTGTGGAGTAAATTCTTACATAAAAAGGGGAGTATTTTTATATTCACAATTACATCTGCATCAGCTTTCAAGAATCACTGGTTGATAACCATTTTCTCTACAGGGACGCTGTTGATTGAATAAATTGGAATAGCTAAAATACAGCTCATTGTTATTTCATGAATAAACATAAATAATATCCTCAGGAGGACGTACAACATGAAAAATATCTCACCGAGCTATTATTCATCTGGAATATGCATGCAAATCCATTATATGTAAAAAGTTCAAAACTGCACTGCCAACGCTGGCCTTTTTAAATGGGACTCTCACTGATCAAAGTGCAAAGTGCATTAAGATATTCTGGCGGCAGAAAAACAGAGCTAATAATTGCTGGCAAACACAAAAAAAGGTGCTACAGATGAGGTGTAAGTGTAAAATGCATAGGGAAAGGGAGAAGTTTACATTCACACTTACAGTTTCCCTGGTGAAACAGAGGTATCGAGTGACCTTGGATTTGAATAAGCCGTCCTTCCACAGGTCGGCGTCAGAGCCATCTGTTGTTTGTGCAACCTACGTGGTAAAAAAAAAGAGGGAGAAAAAAAACAAGGAGAGAAAAAAAACATGCAGGAGGTGGGATAAAGTTAATGTATGTATGCCATGAGCGTGTTGCTTTTGCCTCTTCCCTTGCATACTAGCCTTAATTAACGCTTGCCTACACTAGCGCTCCATCTCATTAGTGCTCTGCGTGGGTAAAGGAGTCTTAGCCTCCAAAAAGGTGGCTAAAAATATCATCCCTTGGGAGCAGGCTGATTAAAGATGCCCTGACAAGGATCTGCTCTAATAAGGAAACCAAACTTCAATGTGCTTCTGTGGGAAAGCAGGGATTTTATTTGGGGTAAATGTGGAATAATTCTCTTTCTAAAATACCTACTGTGGTACCCCTTGAGCAAGACACAGGTAAACTGAGAACACTGCACATACACCTTAAATAGTTTTTACTGCTCTACTCCCTGTGTGGATTCTTTTCATGATTTAATGAGACAATTCTTCTAAGAATAAATTACTGTGGATTTAAAGCAATTTCATATGTACATCTAAATAAGTCAAAACCCACGCCTAAGCAGCTTGTCCTTGCACAATAGCCTCATTCATAGTTGTAAATGATCAGTGGAGTCAGTAAAAAAAAATAGATTGCATCATATTGACAGCATGTAGGCACCACAAGTCAAGCTCAAGGTCCAACACCACATTGCTATGTAAATGTAGGTATGCGGGGCAGAATGATAAAGCAAAACATAACCTGCAGACTGTATCGCAGAGACTCTTCCATCGTTCCAGCAAATATGCTCGGCTGAAGCGTCACGTTCCATTGGCTATCGTGTGAGAATCACCTAAATAACTGCCAGAGTTATTTTCTAAAGGGATCCTTTACAAAGAAGAGTCAATCTAATGAGGTTCATTCAAATGAAGAAGTCATAGATCTCTGCACCCACCCACACACATTACCCCCTTGACAATAATGATGAATGACCTCAGTGACTGGGTGGGGGGAAACATGGCATGGGGAGATTCATGAAAAACCACCAGTGACTAGCTGGGATGAGAGCGGAGACTAGAGTGGGGGAACAGAGATAGATAGTGGGATGAGAGAGAGAGAAAGAGCAGGAGATGAGCGGAGAGAGGGATTGCGGGGCGTCTCCAACAGCAGTTCCATGAAAGGTCCCAGAAGGAGCCTATACATCACCAGCCTCCCCTCTTCCCTTACAAGACAACCCGTCTTGGCCACTTTTTCCAGGTCAGTAGCCAGCGCATCCTGTCAGCGTAAACAAAGGGCTCGCTTTGTGAAACCCAAAGTCAAGTTGAGGAGTAACGAGGGCACGGTCCTCCTAGGAGGCACCTCAGGCATCATCCTGCCACAGCCGCCGGCAGCAAGGATGCGACGCAGCTTGAATGTGAAACGCCAACTGCTGAGCCACGGCAGAACAGGCATGTGTAAAGTTGCGATGGCTCCTTTCTAATACTTTCAAGTCTGGCACTGCATGGCTCCATCATTACACACACTTCAATGAGAAGAATGCCACATGTCTGATAAGAAACGTCATGCCTCTGATATTGAAATACGGTTGTAACATTTGATTTAAAATGCAATGACAGATTCAACTGCCACTTCCTAAAATCTAAAGCTTACAGTGATCTAAAAGCCCACCAATGAAACAAGTCTTTAGGGGGTGCTGAATACTCCTATGAAGGATCTCTGGAGACAGACACCACCAGCAAGTTACTATGAAGCCCTGAGAGGCACAGCTGTGAATAAAAAGATATAAAGGCATTCAATCAAAAACCTCTGGGGAGTGAAATCAGGTGCAGAAGATATAAGAGAGGTACAGGGAAACAAGCCAGTCCCTTCAAAGAAGAACAGAAAAACTGAAGAGAGAAAATTGTTTTGGATCCCTTCTCTCAACTGGAACTAGATAAGCTGACTACTGACTATATATTAAAGAATAAAAGCCGCAGTTACTCTGAAAAAGTTATTTGACTTTCAGTAATAGTTTGACACCTTGGGAATTGTGCTTTTGGGCTTACTTGCAGAGATTTAGATGGGAAGGGACTGACACAACTCTCAAGTCTGTGCATTAAATATGGAACCAAAGTTAGAGCTGAGGGGTGATTAGCTTAGCTTGGCTTAAGACTGCAAGTAGGGGGGAAAAGCTAACTCTGCTACAAGCAACTCTGAAGCTCATTTTATTAACATATTGTTTCTAATGAATAAAAACACAATTTGTGTTAATGGAATGACCCACATTGTAATCATTTCTTGGGAAACAACTGTTTGTCCAGCACTTCTGTGCAGCAACTCTGCTGATTGTTTGTCAATCACACAATAAAACACAGACACAATAAAAGTCATTCTTACATTTTTGTTTGTGTTCTAACTGATCAAACAAGATACAACATGCTCTTTTGGTGAGCTTTAGAGGTGTTGGTAGAAGCATTTTTGAGTTTTGGGGAGAGCTAGGCTAGGCTAGCGGTTTCCCCTTGCCTCCATTCTTCATGCTTAGCTAAGCACCCTCTGGCCCTTGCTGTGAACTTTGCATACAGACATGAGAGTGGTATCCATTAGGCTTGTGTAGTAGCTGTACCTACATGCCTTCCTGAAATTGCCCCAGGGTATAGGCTACTATATGTGATGGTATTTGTGCAAAACAAACAAACAAACAAACAAACAAACAAACAAACAAACCAAAACAAAAACCCTTCAAACTGAGCTACACTATATGCAATTGACCCTTTGCTAAGTCCCGTCCCCGGATGTGGACTGATCAATCATAGCGTAGCATTGGACCAACTCAGACCAGGGTCTGACAACAACACAGCTGTGCTCCATTGACTCTAATGCAATCATTTCAGATTTCCTTCATTTTCAGGCTGGTTTTGTTGATTTCGAGCTAAATGTTATCTAAATGCTTAATGTATTAACAGCACTCGTTACCTGAAGAGGTTGGAAGGCGATATAGCCTACATTTCCTCCCTCTTCCAAAACCAAAATCAAATCCTGAAATATGTAGGGTTAGCTAGCTAGCTACTGAAGATATAGCCTACTGAATGTATACACATGCTGCTTTTGCTTTTTAATGATTATAACTCTTAATAAAGGTCTACCCTACTAAGCCAAACACTGTTTATCTGCACACACTGTGATGCCACACAGCTGGTTCAATATTGGCAAAGTTTCCCTTTATATTTATTGTCTTTTATCTTGATCACCAGGTGATGTGGTGGTTCACTTTTATTACTGTAATTAGTAGCTTTTAGTTATGCTTTAGCTTTTCTGTCTTCATCTTTCTAACCTGTTTTGCTTCTGAGTGAGTTTGACATCCTGGATATATCCTTCAAACATGTTGTAAACCCCTCTGTCTGTTTCTCTCTGTAACTGCTTTTTCGTTTTTCCAGAAATGTGATAATATTTCATCAGGGAGTGCAGTTAGTTACAGTGTGGGCATCATGCTAGCTCCAACAGCTTGACGGATTATCGTAAAGGGGCGGGGCTTAGTGAAAGGTCAATTAGCCTACTTAGACATGTCTTGTTGGGTTGAAATACTTTTGGCCCATAAAATAATGAATAGATAGAAGAGAAGTGCCCCTCTTGCTGGAGAACCCAATGACACTAGTTGCCCAAAGAATACTGACAGATTAGTGGGTGAAACAAAGAGGCTGTGTTAAATTAAATCATGTGGCTCATAAACATCCTTTGTAGTTGGAAGAAGTCATCTCCAGATTAAGTTATTTGTGTCAATAATCCCAATCGGGGGCAGAGGCATTTTTCTTTTTCACAAGTCCTGTAACATTATACCCACCACTCGCAGTTGCCATCTTTATCAGCTTAACAGCCTGCTCCATCAGTAGACTGATCTCTGGTGGCACGTGCTGTACACTACAATACATTACCTCAATACAGCATCTCCATATTAGTTTAATAGAAAGAGAAGCATCTATATTTTTGACGGTATTGAAAATCATACCTTCAGGATTTCTTAATAACTGGGTATACTGTAATACCTTGCTTTGCCTAAACCTAGTATCCATCTTTTCTTCTAACAATTGACAAGAAATCAGGCTTATTACCCAAAATGTCAAACTATACCTTCAAGTACAAAGGCTCACTCAAAGACAGACAGGCTGCTATCAGATTTTTAAGCCCAGACATCCTAGCTAATCATAAGCTACTAACAGGCTTCTTAAAATGAAGTTACATTTCAGTAATGAGTTTATGAGCAGAATGTGTCAAATGCTCAGGTGAATCTGAAATAAACACATATCCCCTTTGCAACCCTTGCACAGAGTGTGAGCGTGCGTGAGTCTACTTGTGGTGTTTGATGTTGGGTGGCTGCTGGTGCTTCAGCAAAGCTCCTGATCCCAGTGGAACAGTGTTTGATCTGGGCCTGTGCTCTCTTGTGTTGGAACAACCTGCTCAAGTTCAGAGATGTGAGCGCCTCGTATCATAGAGCAAAAGAGTTAATCAGCTCTTTGATCTGCTGTATAAAAAGTATGGTAAGTATGGTAAGCAGTAAGGAGGATTTCTAAAAGAAGTCTAGTATGAAAGAGGGGAAAAAAAGAAATCAATACAGCGTAATATCCTGAGACCCTTCTCAGTGCTGCATTAGCACACTGATGCTGAGTGTTGATATGTTTGTTTGTATTTCAAGTCTTCAGATGAAAGACCACATAGTGATGTTCAAAAGATGTTCTTGAAGGTGGGACAAATGCATTTGAAATAGTGCTTCAGAGTCTTGAGGCCTTGAATTTTTATCTCGGAGGCTAACTCGTACTTGACTTTTTATTCAGATATGATTTTGATATTTTATTACCTGGAAGGATATGTTTCTATTCTATTTCATTTTACAAAGGTAAACTGACACAGACTTAAATATATAACTAAACCAGATAGTATCAAATATAGGCTTTAATTTTTTTTTTTTTCCCCCGCACAGATAGGAAGCAAGCCACAGTCACATCATAGAACTAGTCTACGGCCATGCTAAATGCTAATGCCACCTTGCTAACATGCTCACAATGACAATGTCAAATTATTGACGTTGAGCAGGTATAATATTCACCAGGTAGTTTAGCAAGGTAGTTCTAGCCTTGCTAGCATGGTAGTATAGTGCTAGTATTTGCTAATTAGCACTAAGACAAAGTACAGCTGAGGCTGATGGGAATGTCAATCATTTTTAAAGGTATTAGGACTCATTCGTAGGATTCATCCTCTGGGCTCTAGGGCTGTATGATATCAGGAAAACATGCTGTGATGGATACTGCAATGATGATATGGCTAGCAATGAATAAACAAAATTTATAAACAGGTATACAGTTTTTGTGTCTTTCTGCCGTAGGTTTGCGCTTCTAACATAGACAATGAATAGCCTATACACATTGAATTTAAAAACAAAAAATGGAATGCACTGCAGTGATGTTGATATGTTTTCAATGCAGTGATGGTCCCACAGGTGGTCATTTAAATGGGTCCACAATACAATTTGTGTTTTCTGATGAACTGTAGTGTTAACCTTGTGTTTGATGTTGTATGGTTCCAATTATGGATATATTCATGTATGCTGAAAATGTAACAAAAGTTAAATAAAAATCCAAATCAATAAACTTTATTTACAGAACCACAGACTGTATATGTATCTCTATATAGAGTCTATGTATAAAACATTTTACAAATGTCCCATGTTACATGTTGTTTAGAGAGCACAAAGATCATCTACCCAGTGTAATGTAAATCAGATGTAATATATGATCATGATTTGTGAAAATCCCATAGAAACAGATTTTCTATAGATAATCCATAAAAATTTGAACAAGTTATTGTATAAATTTAACAGTTTAATGTTTTGAGAAATATGCCTATTCACTTTCATCCTGAGAAGAGTTCTCTTTTCACTTATCGAAACTATGAACAAAACAGGACACATAAACAGTAAAACTGGTCTTGCGTGACCTGTACCATATATGTTAATAAAATGGTAGCCAGGGCACGTTCTGTGGACAGTTAAGCATCATGCGGTCATCATCAATATGACTCATTACAGTATCGATCACTGGCACCATTACATTACCACAATGAAGCATTATCGCGGGAAAAAAACAAGGCACGTCCCCTAGACATGCCACATGCAAATATACTAATTATTGCAGTTCAAGCGCTCTTTTGCGACACTTATATTGCACATGTGCACAAACCATCCAATATTTTTTGAGACACGGTTTAAGGGGTATTTTTTTTCTTATCCAAATCAAGGGTCTGTACATATTAGCCCCTTGAGGCAAATTTGTGATTTGTATTCATTGAGCTATAAAAATAAAACTGAGCTGACTTAAAAAAAAACCCAAAAATGTCAAATTCATGGTGACGCTGGAAGAAAAGTCAAGGGATCAATTTAGCATCAAGCTGTTGAGATATTCACATTTCACTCTGGACACAAGACCACCTCACTGACATTGACATTTTTAGAGCCATGCTGTTAGCATGGTTAAATAAAATCACCATAATAAATTATCAGGGTTGAAGTGCTACTCATTGCATTGTCAATTGTTTCAGCTATTTCAGCCAACAGCAGTATGCAGTAGTTTTTCTGCAGTGCTTTGGTGATTATCAGATATATGTATACTTGTTTACACTATGCACTCATTGTCTTTGTTTTGTGGCAGTGTCTCAATTTGTATTAATAATCCAAATCATGATTCAAAAAAACATATATGCAGAGATATGTTTTGACACAAGGTTACACAATAAAAAAGTTTCATTCTTTGTATTTGACTGCAGTAACAGTTTCTTGATGTTCATTTATATGTCTACAATTCATTATCTTAAGTACAAACTATTTCTAAATTTCAAACCACTGGTGAACTGCCTGGGGGTTAACAAAAAGTATTTTTAATTTACTGAGCATCTATTGCAGAGATAAAACAGTGTCATTAACAGTCAGTGATGAGCTTTTAGCCCCACAGAACATGCACAGCATTTGCACATCAGCTGAAATGTACTGGCGCACTGGAGCAGCAGTGGAGGAAGTCTGATGGGGTTTCTCTGTTTGTCACTACCGTGTGGTGTGTACGCAGTTTCCCTGCCAGTGGCTTCGTTCTGATGCCAACCCGCCATCGTCTGCCAGACGATTAGAACAAGCTGGGTGTGTAGGGTGGAGCAGGAAGATATAAAAACTGGGGGGAGAGGGAGGGTTTCAGGGCACAGGGTGAAAGCAAGAAGAAGTCTGAATAGGAAGCGGGAGAGAGGAAGAGAGATCTGCCCTTGAGCTTGTTTTGTGCTTTGTGTAACTCGCAAACTCTCTTCTCTGTTTAACCCTCTCCAACAATTTCAAAACCAAGAAAGGTTCACATAAAACAGCTGACCCTGCGCAACATCCAGACACATCACTATTATTGTTGAAGTTGCTGTGGTGCTTGGATATAAGGGAAACATGGAGGTAAACTGAAATGACTCTGGTGGGCATCGAGCAAACATCATTAAATCTTTGCCTCTGGTGTGTCTGTGATACTGGTGGCAACCAGCAACAATGTCAGGAAGGGAATCTTCCTAATCATCAAAGTAAACTTTATGAATAAGTCATCTAACAGCTCTAACAAAAAAAACACATTGGAAGGCTGCCAACATCCTGCCTGTAAGTTATGCTATACAATCAGTCACAACAATTACATGCATAGAGCTCAATGAAAAAACTTAACAAAGTAAAAGCATATATTTCAGATTAAGATTTTTAATCAAGGACGTTTTGGCCCTGTAATAACGCTGGTAAAGCATTTAAAACAAACAAAATAACATAACATAATAATATTTCTCCTCATTTTTTCTTTGTTTATTTCACTTGTGGCTTTTAGAGGTAAGGAGAAACAAAAAATTTTATAGGCTAAATCCAAGCTTATTAAATCAAGTTATGTGTTTCAAAATGAATACTCACAACATAGTAGCCATCAGGGGCCTTGTTGAGTGAAGTGACAACTCCAACTGCAGAGATGGGGTCTGTGGGTACCTGGCTGCTCGCGTCAGACATGTCAAAGCTGGGTTAGAAAAACAAAGAGAACCTCATCACACTTTTGGCATTCAACCAGAGGATCCCCAGTTTTTGCCTCCCGAAGAGTTAACTTTAGCTACATTGTGTAATTCAATGCTAAAAAATATTGAAGAAGAATTGAGATAAAAAACAGACCTGTGAAAGAAGGAACTATTGTAAATGTGGAGACCCTGAATAAATATGCAAAATGCAGATAGCAAAACAACATGAGGATTGCACCCTTCAGGGTCATTGAATGGAGAGTGGACAAGGTTTTTCTTGGCTAAAATGACCACATTATTGACTTCTTGATGAGGCTTATTAGGATCTAGAAGAAAAAGCGGCCCCCTAATCCAGGATCAAATGACAAGTGAGACCAATGACAAAAACAGCATTTGGAGACCACCCAATGACTTCACCAAATCACAAATTAGGGGGGAGTGATCACATATTTTCAAGGAAGTCCCAATCAATTGCTATCTATTCCTGTCCAAGGGAATTTTTCCCTAATGGGTATGCAAGCCTTTTACAGGGTAAGTGGCTTTGCAATTGTTCCCTTACGCAATTTTATTAGATTAGGTTTAAAGCATTCTTGTACTAACTGACAAAGTTGCTGCATTCAATCTTGATGTTTACGAAATCTATTGCAATTAAGCTGATCAAATTAGGGGATTTACTCCAGAAACAGCTGTCTCTTTAACAAATGCTGGATAGCCGTACTTATTCAAATGAAACAGGATAGCAAATTAGCTAATAGAATGAAGGATCTCTTTGTAACATTAATTTGTTCAAAATGAGCTTTGTTTTCCAGCACAACATCAAGGCTTAGAGACTCATGCAGGCAGACCAAAGAAAAATCCATCCAAATGTATTTCCAGCTCCCGAGTAAAACATCCCTGTGCATGGTATACAAACGTGAATGGTGTGTCTGTCTGTAACATTCAATATTGAGTTCATGATGACGACAGTAAACAAGAAGCTTATCACCATAACTATAAGGCAGTGCAGGCATATGAGCCCACTACATAAAGCAGAATCTAGTTTTATTTGGCCTCTGCTGTGAAGTTTCTTTCGTCTTACTCATAATAACTTCATTAACTATATCAAAATATGTAACTGAGAAGCATCAAGTTGAGTTGGTCTAATTTCTCATTGTGAACAGCAGCCATCACCTTAGTGTTGCCAAAAATATTGATTTATCGATACATATTGATTCTGAATATTTGAAATGGTTTTAATACTCAGTTTCCACGGTATCGACATATGGGTACCAGCTGCGCTTTCTCTCTCCGTGTTATTGTTAATGTTTACTACAGTCATTCTGCTGCTCTCTGCTACTAACCAAGAACAGTTGTCCTTGCCATTGTGTTTTATTTATCTTTTCATTAAAATTTTGAATTGTATGCCCTCAATGTCAAATTTTCCTGTGGTACTGAAAATGGTATCAGATATCAATATTTTTCAAGGTATCGAGGTTTGAAATTCTAGTATCATGACAACACTACATCAACCAATTGTTGGAAGGATGGAATAAATGCAAGTTTGTGAAAGTGAGAGTCAACGTGTCATGTGTGACTACTGGATCTATACATTGTTATGGCTGGGGTATGACTTTGTTATTGTGATTTTGATGCTCCCCGAAGCAACAAATGTTTTTCCTTGAGCCCCACTGAGTGACTGGCAGAAAATGCACAACCCTCCCTCCACCATAAATTAGTTATTAGATTTTTAAAGTGTACCCTTTGATGTTTGAAAGTTTAGAGTTAAAACTTGAAGACAAAGTCCTGGAGTTGGTTATTAAGTCTGGTTATGCATGCTGATTAGCTAGAGATGGTTTCTTATTGGCCAAATTAAAAATGAGCATATAATAAATTGATTTTGATGAAATATCAGTATTTTAAAGGGAAATTTCGGTTATTTCACTAGTGACATAGAAATAATAGTTAGCATGTTAGCCATTAGCTTAGATACAGCCGTAGCGTCAGACCTGTTAAAAGGTAATTGAACGGGCATCCTTTCAAGTGCAAAGTTAGTCCACTAAACAAGCTTTTTCTCCACAAAGACCGCCTCATATCGTTAGGATAAATGTCAGAGAACATATAGAAAACGACATGTAAACATGTTGTCTTACCTTACCGGTGTGGTGCCATGTTTGTTGTTTACCATTTAGTTAAGGCTGCAACCAGTCCTATTCCTTGCAACAGAGGTATTCCTCTTCTGTGGGCACTGGGGTACAGCATTCACAGGTAACGTTACACCACCAATCTCCAGAGCTAAAACCTTCCAGCAGCCATTCCTCCTCTGTCGTCCTCTAACGTTACCTGTTGTGCCTCTCTCTCTCTCCTCCTCCATTCTTCAATTTCACGAAGTTCTTCGTCAGTGTATTCTGGCTCAAATAAAGAAGGGCGGCCATCGACTCTCGATGTGGAAAGCCTATATACTAACATTCCACATTTAGGTGGTCTTCAGAGTTGTCGTCTTACCTTACGGTGTGTTTATCATTTACCTCTGCTTCCCAAAGCGCGGCCGAAATATCGCGAGGACAAGCAGCGATCTCATAGCGTGCCTGAAATCTCGCGAGAACAAGCAGCAGCCGCTGCAAGGTAGAACCGAACAGTAGCCTGAAAAGTTCATTCATTTATTTTATGAAAGATTTATAGAATAATGGCTGACTTTTTGCCAGACTTCGACTTTGTGGAGGAGGAATTTGATTTTGCAGAGTTTTATGGCCGCCCTTCTTTATTTGAGCCAGAATACACTGATGAAGAGCTTTGTGAAATTGAAGAACGGAGGAGGAGAGAGAGAGAGGCACAACAGGTAGAGGAAGACAGAGGAGGAATGGCTGCTGGAAGGCTTTAGCTCTGGAGATTGGTGGTGTAACGTTACCTGTGAATGCTGTACCCCAATGCCCACAGAAGAGGAATACCTCTGTTGCAAGGAATGGGACCGGTTGCAGCCTTAGCTAAATGGTAAACAACAAACATGGCACCACACCGGTAAGGTAAGACAACACTTTACATATCGTTTTCTATATGTTCTCTGACATTTATCCTAACGATATGAGGCGGTCTTTGTGGAGAAAAAGCTTGTTTAGTGGATTAACTTTGCACTTGAAAGGATGCCCGTTCAATTACGTTTTAACAGGTCTAACGCTACTATGCTCCCCGGCTGTATCTAGGCTAACAGCTACCATGCTAACTATTATTTCTATGTCACTAGTGACTTGAAACAAATTTAGGACGATAGGAGACGGGTTGAAATAAACCGAAAAAATCTTTAAGCTCAGATTTGGTTACGATTTTACAGACAGAAGCATTTGTTGCACATGATGTGTCCAAGGACCATCAGAAATTTGAAACTCCAATGATAATTTCTCTTTTTACAGTTTCTGGCAATGATAAATGGTGTAAATTTGATGGACAAGTTTGTTGCATGTGATGTGTCCAAGGACCGTTGGAAATTTGAAAATCCAACAATAATGATAAATGGGGTAATTTTGGGCATGTTTTCTTCAAAAATTTGTGGCAAAATAAATATAAAATACTACTATTTAAATTTGTATGCCTCTCTCATAAGCCAAAATAAAAAAATAAGTCCCTCTTCAGTGCTTAAAAAGTTATTTGACATACCTCCCCCTTTTGGCACCAACCCCACCTGCCTCGTAAATAATGAACAGTCCCTTAGCTAGCTAATATCTATTGTCTCTACTGCCTAATAATATGGGCTGTATAGGATATGGATATGAATATCATTGTTAGTTTGCTGTGATTTTAATGATTACATGACGAAAGAGTCTCTGTGAACACCTGACAGCTCTAAAATCGGATGAGAAGATGCACAACTGGAGGGGCACAGTAATTGTCACTGATATTTATATGTAACGTCAGGCCTGCTGTCACTGGAGCTGGTAAGTTTAATGTTGAATTAACTCTCAAAGTCTATGTTGGTGCATTAGCATGTTGTCTCTGCGTTGCATTTGACTATTTAAATATGTAGGCCTAACATAACTAACACGCCTACTGATGCTACTTTACCAGGGCTTTTGCTAGCTCAATGCTTTAAAACTTCGTACTGTATTTCACACATCTTATACCATCATTTGTATCTTTACATTTTGGCTAGGCTTCGTGAAACTCGCCAGAAAACCTCCGTTACAGGAACTGTTAAGTTGCTGACATGACAGAACTGTGTGACAGAGGTCCACATGAGGATTCAAGACAGCTACAGGTGTGTCATTTGCTTATTAAAATGTACGTTTTGCGTATTTAAAGTAATAGTTATTACTGTAAGCCCTCTAGAAACTGTCGGAGTCGTCAGGAAGTGAAACTAAAATCCACTTTAGTTGTCGTGTGGTTTTTGTTTACCTGGTTGAAACGCGTCGATGTCCCGGGTGCTGCTGCCACAGTCCAACTCTGGACTTCACCCCGCGCCAACCTGCCGGAAGTGAACACATCCCGGTACTACTGATAATTAATGATTAACCAAAACGCAATAATAATTCAAGGTAGAGTCTCCCTCTGTCTTTTTCTTCTGGGGAAACAACAATAAATTAAGCAAATAAATAAATAAAATAAAATAAATTACTTCCGTTTTCTAATTTAAAACAACTTCTGTGACACCCGCTCCCCTCATTGCCCTCTAGTATATTGTGTGTTAGTTGTATGTGTTGTTGTATGCTGCCATGCACAATCCCTTTTGGAAAATCATTTCAATATATCCTAACTGAGGGTCCAGCTTGCTGTGAAGTTTACTCATCTGTTGATGCTTTTTATTTATATATATATTTTTAATTTAATTTAATTTTTATTTATAGCTAAAATGACTTGCTGATATAAATCATAACATGCTGCTCAGTCGGTGAGTGCAGCACAAAAGCACTGGGTTCTCAACATCTAATTCAACAGACGAGAACATCTTATGAAAGCACAACCAGAAAGCTGTATGAATGCTAAATGTGCCAATTTACTTTGTCAGTGTGAACTATGCATACACAGAGAACAGAGGCCTGGGCCAACAATGCAGCACTGACTCGTGGGTGTATTTCTTTGCAATAACTTTTGAGATCCAATTTAGCTATGGTAACTAAATTAAGGTTGTGCATCACTAAATGACTATCATTACATGGATGTATCTATGGGTCACGCCTTCTGACAGTTGGCTGTCTCTCTAATCATCACATGTCATTACTATAATCAGATAAAAGTAAGATAAAGAGCAATGTATTAGCTTAGCTGTAACATTAGGATCTACATCTCCCAGAGCACAAAACTTGAAAGCCTCTTTGTAGACTGTCCAAAACACCAAGGGGCGACAGATGCTTCCCCATCGCCGAGTTTATTATTTCTACCCCCATCAAACCAATCAAATAAATTATTTCATTGTGCAGCTATTATCCTAATTTATTCAAATCAAAGACTTGTTGCTCTGCTTTGTGACATGGCGCCATATGCCAGTATGGTGTCTTTATTGGGGCCACACACTGTGAAATGTATTTATGGGCTAACATGGCTGCACATGATGTGATCAGTTTTCCCTTTTTTACATTTTTATAATGCTTCTATAATTAGAGAGGAGACACTCAGAGGGAAACTGCCACCTCGCCTGACCAGCAACTTTTACCACCTCCACACTTACTGTTGATGTTAATTAAAGAGGCAAAATCTTGCCCGTGTTTGCAGACAAGTGTTAGTTTCTAATTTTAATTTGGGAAATTCTCAACAGGCAAACATGGCACTGCTCGCATTTAAAGCCTTTATATGTATTCAGAGTTTAGATGTCTCACCACTCCAGAATTTAGGTGCAATTTAAAGGGAGACACTACAGGTGAACATATTTTTATGTGCTGGTCAGTTTTGAGATTTTGGGCTGTTTTGCTTCTATAACATGTTTCTTCTTAATATAGTCAGAAGTAAACATCCAAAATATCCATTTAGGTGTTTATTTTAGTTCAGATTTCTGTTCTGGAAATGTATACAAAAAGTGTGTTTGGTCCATTTTAGGCTACTGTAGGACAACATGGTGGACTCTGTGAAAGAGGACCTGCTCCATATGTAGATACATGGCTCATTCTGAGGTAACGAAAACACAATAATGCTTTTTTTCAGGTGATTAGAAAGTATTGAATACATAGTTATGAATATTTTATATCACCTACAAATCACCTACATGTCTGTCCCTAAATATAAAGCTATCGCTGGTTAGCTTAGCTTAGCACAAAAATTAGAAACAAGGGGAAATAACTTAGCCTGGTAAGACCATCCTGATGATATCAGTCTGGCTCTACTTCTGCCCAAAACACTCACAGAAATTGCAATCCAGTGGGGCCAATCAGGGGTCCTTACTGTAGGTGAAAATGTAAAAAGCCAACTAGGGAATGTGTTGTAGTTGATGACGTGAAATGTAGGCCGTGGCTGTGGCTTGCAGAACAGTAATGGCAGCTCCCATAGCAGCATAGCTCAAATGTTAGTAAACACAGCAATAAGTGACGTTACTGCAGAAATACAGTCAATGACAACAATTAAACAAGAACAAGAGCATACACGCGTGGAGTTTCTCGGAGGAAAAGATGTTTTTGCCGACATATTTGTGTTTCTGTCGAGGGAGTCTGGTGACTGTGGATGGGGTCGGCAGCAAAACATATTTTAGCCACATAAGAAAATGACCACCTAAAACAAATCAACATCAGCTTTAGCATATGCTATATTTTGAATATTCTGCCACAATTTTATGGTCTCTTCAAAGCCACCAGACTTCATAGATAGAAACAATCATTTTACTCCACAGAACACAATGAGTCTCTGGTCTGCTGCTGCCCCTTGATCAGGTAGTTAGTTTAGCCTTTCGGAACTGACCTAATCCTGCTGGTTCTCTTGTCTGCCTGTGCAAACTTGGAATGTAAGATTGATAACAAGCAGTTCTTAATGAAGGTTCAGCCATGAAGGATGCTCAGTGACGTCCTCCCCGCCGCTTGCCCTGCGCGTGCCCCAGGCCCAGCTGGGGCCTGCGCAGTGCTGCTGGGCAAAAGGAGAGAGGGGGAGAGACTGAGCAGAGGAGCCGTGGAGTGTGATTATTCTGTGCAGCATGCATGGCAATGAAATATAATATATTTGAATACATTGCTAAAGTTGCTAAATTTGTTGCTACACTGTTCCCTGGTACAAATCAATATTCATTGTTGTTTCGCCACTGATTGGCTGAAGGAGTTTGTCTGTCAATGCGAGTACCAGCTGGGGCAGAAGCGTGGCCAGACTGATATAGGGTGCGAAACAGAATGCTGAGCTCACGTCATCAGGATGGTCTTACCAGGCTAGAAGTAGTTAGCCTGGCTCTATCTGAAGGTAACAAAATCCTCCTACCAGCGTATGTCTCAAGCGTACTAATTATATATTATAACTTGTTTTTTTAAAATTCATACAAAAACAGTAGTATAAAAATGTCAGCCTGTGGTTTTTAGGGGTTATGTGCCTGACTCTTTCTTGGCCAGGTGCTGGTTACCTGGCAGTCTCACAGTTACATTCTTTTTGTCCAAAATAAACAATAAAATGTGTTAGTGAGGTTTGGGGGTGCTATTTGATATTGTTACCTTTGGACAGAGCTGTTTCCCCCTGTTTCCAGTCTTTATTCTCAGCTAAGTTAGCAAGCTGCTTGCAGGAGCTTCAAACAGACATGAGAGTGGTATCAATCCTCTCATCTAACTCTCAGCAAGAAAGTGAATAAGCTTATTTCTCAAAATGTCAAGTTATTTCTTGTAATCCAAATTGTTAAAGTGTATTTGAGTATTTGAGTTAAGTGAGAATTGGGCTCACTTATTTCTGCAATAAGAGGTAGCTCATTGGGGCTAAGAGTTTTTTAAGCCTTTATGTGTTGTGTATGTCAGTTAGAAAGTGATGGAGATGGTCATTTTATTATATAGGATTAACAGAACAACTATAAAGACCCCAACATGCTGCTAAACAGTGTTCTTCAGATCATATACCATAGCAGTATAACATGGACGGCTGTAGCTTAATGTGAGTCCATATCAGTGACAAATTACAGAAATTTACACAGTGGGAGAAAATTTCTTCCTCCAACAGTCTTACGTCGTCAGATACTGTAACACCCCCCATCATCACCACCCACCTCACACACACAATCCTACAAACACATGCTTCCACATCAAGGTGTTGACAACCCACTGAAACAGGCATGTTCATTTTATGTAGATCTTGAGGCAGTGCTGAAGTTGATAAGATAAAATCTCAGGTGTCAGTGGAAAAAAAAGGAGAGGAAGGGGGAAAAAAAAGCCCAACACATGCTCTGGCTGAGAAGAGGTACACCTGCTAAAGTAATGGTCTAATTATGGAATAGGTGATGAAACACTCGTCGAGAGTCTGGAGATATCAGCAACACATGCTAACTGTGAAAGCCATCAGCTATTACAGTGTTTTAATGTGCGGCACATCGCATGCTGAGGATTGTGGGGTAAGATGAATGATGGCTGTGGCAGATTTCTGTGGGGGAGCAGCCGGTGTAGGATGCATAGCATTACAGCTGGCATTTTGAAAAGGTTCATTAAAACCGTGATTTCTTTGTTCACGCTTTGTTTCATGTATGCTTTATGACACATCTCAGTTAAAGTCGACCCCATAAACACTGGATCATCCTTTCATGTACAAAATATCATGCACGTATTCAGGTAAGTCTTAACAATGTTGTAGTTGTGAGCGGTAATCAGTGGATGACAAAAGAGCCCCTGGACCAAAATTATACCTCAGTGGACGACTTTGCACCCAAATGATAAAAAACAGCAAAGGTTTCCTTTTCACGTGTAAAGGTCATTCACTGTGTTTTGTAATTTGCTGACACTAGTCTGGGGACTGAAGATGGAGATTTCTGTGTTGCCACCCCGAGAGTAATAATATCCCTATCTCAACTTGGGAAATCTACTGTGCCCCAATGTCCCCGTCACCCGTGTGAACCTATTATAGGCTGTGTAGAAATCTGCAGGTCTCATTTCATATATGACCCTCTACCCCCCTTCCTCCTCCCTTTCTGTCTACACATAAAAAAATATCCCTGTGTCTCCTGAATAGCTTATAATAACAAGCTTTAAGAAGGCCTACCCTTAGTGCCCCCATAGGATGCAGCCTTGCTAGGCTCTATAATATCATGCTTTTTTTCTAATTAAAGGTCAGTTTGGTCCAGTCTCATTGCTGCCTTGGCTGAAAAATCTCCCGAAACATGATGGCTTTGCCAAATGTGATTTAATTTTCCAGTTATGCCATCTGTTTTCTTGGGCAAAGCACTGAGTTGCACAAGTTGAACATGGAAGAGCTGTCAGATTCAGTTTGTAATTCTTTACATTTGTCGTTAAAGAAGAGGAGATGTCTTCAAATCCCTATAAATAATATATAACCTTCCAAGATCACGGTCCAAGACATGTCTCCCTAAA